GTAAAAATAGTTGCAAAAGTGGAGTTCTTATACATATTTTGTATATATTTTCATGTACCAAATGAGTCAAACAAATCATTGGTCATTTTTGGCTTGCTTGTTTAGCAATCTTTACATTTAAGCTCGAACTCTATTTATTTAGTAAAAATAAAATATAATGACTCTCTATCCTAGTCAATCTTAAAATAATAATAAAAAGGTCGATTTATCTATAGGCTTGGTAATTAATGAATCTACTAAAGCATCTTAGATTGTTTAGACAATTTCAAAGTCNTTCAAAAAAAGGTCGATTTATATATAGTCTTGGTAATTAATGAATCTACTAAAGCATCTTAGATTGTTTAGACAATTTCAAAGTCTCCTTCTTGTCCATTATTTTGAGATTTTAAGTTGGATTTTCATTTGTGTATTCAAGAAATCGTGGCCATTTTGTTCAAAATATGTGTTTGAACCAATGCCAATTACCATTAGTTGGTCCCACATTTCCATGGTCCATATAATAAAACCGCCCACATGATATCATCATGGCCTTAAACCTTTTTTGTTCATATTATCACTTACACTTTCAACCATGAAAGATTTTTTAAAAAATATTTTATATTCTCAAAAATTAAAATTTTCACATTGCACACTTAATATATTAAAAATATTATAATGTAATTCTTCTATTGGTTTTTGTTACTCATTCTGTCAAAAGGCAGGTTTTCACAGAATAAACAATAGTTGGTAAGGGGTATGGGGGGTTTGGCAAGATGGGTTTGAGAAAAATAATCCAAAGGACCCCCAAACCCCATATTTTGATTGAAAATTTAATCTCGAATTTTTAAACCCNTATGGGGGGTTTGGCAAGATGGGTTTGAGAAAAATAATCCAAAGGACCCCCAAACCCCATATTTTGATTGAAAATTTAATCTCGAATTTTTAAACCCGGCCCATAGTTGACCCGAATATTAAAACCATATTCATGGATTTCGTCAAACCTAAGGAAAATGGTGGGTTTGGGATGATNCCCATAGTTGACCCGAATATTAAAACCATATTCATGGATTTCGTCAAACCTAAGGAAAATGGTGGGTTTGGGATGATTGGTTAAGGAGTTAAGGATGCAAAAGATAATTGTACCACTTAACATGAGTATAAAGAGTAATGCTATGTATCCCAAATTTTCAATCCAAATTTTCATTCCAAATCAAGGGAGACCCTCAGATCAGTGGATCCAATTTAAAAAAGTTGATAGGACCCACTCATCCAACGGTCTCCCTTCATTTGGGATGAAAATTTAAATTGGAGATTTGGAATACATAGTATTTCTCGGGTATAAATTGAATTGACCAAAGGTAAAATAGTTATTTACATGATAAATAGGTGTTAATAATTATGATATATCTGTAGGTCTTATATGTGTATATGTTGCATACTAAACATGAATATTAATTGGATTCAATATTGAATCTCATTTTTGTAAAGATGGATTTAGGTTTGGGGAAGTCAATACAAACTCTCCTAAAAATNGTGCAGACTTCAAATTAACCCTAAGGATAAAATTGTATTTATATAGTTATTAATTCGGGTTGAACCCGATTATTAAATCTGGTTGAGCTTGATTTTAATATTTGGGTTTAACCCGTGAACCCGATGTCTCAACTCGAGGACAGTTCAAATTGAATTTGGGTTGAAATTTTTTGACTCAAGCCTAACCTTAATATTAAAAATTTTAACCCAAACCTTAATTTTTTTAGATTGAACTTGGGTTGAAATCGGGTTAGTTCGCCCAAATTACACCCTTACCGAAAAGGAAGGGATCAAAAATAGTGGGCCACATGGATTGCTTTTCCATCAATTTTACCTTTCTTTTCATCTTTCTTTTCTAATCAAATAAAGAAAATTTACATTTTTCATTCTATTTTTCATCCATAATTTTTCATCTATCAGATTTTCACTCCTACCAAACAAGCCATTAGATAAGAATCAAAACACTACCACTAGAGATCATCGGATACTCCTATCTAGGTGATTAGTCACTTACCAAAATTGGATAGATCAGAGGAATTAGATAATGATCCGGCGGATCCATAGTTCTAGATGTAGCTATATGTTCTTTTCTAAAAGTTGTGGAATTCACTAAGGTAGCGAATAAAAAATTTTGGTACCATACCTTTAAATTTTATTATTTTAATAAATTTTTTTTTATAATTTTTGTGAATCATTTTACAATCATTTTGATAAAAAAAAATCATTTTACAATCAAAAAATTTATCACTTTTATATGTGATTTATTGTATTTGTGAGTATTTTTACTACAATTATAGGTGTTTTTCTCATTGTTGTGAGTGTTTATCACTATTATGATAATTATTTTTATTATTTTTATCAATACTATAATAATAATAATAAAACACCTATAAATATATAAAATACGATATAATACCGAAATTCTGTGGTGGGTACCGTAGACAAGTCTAAAAGTTGTAGAAGCAGAGTACTAATGTGAAAAAGAAAAGGACAGAGTTCATCTTGTCCAGATCTATTTGTTGGACGAACCAATCATGAAAGCCGCCCAAATTAAATTATTATACAGATAATATAAGAAAAATGGTGAGAGAGAAAGATATGTTTCTTAAACAAAGGCCCTTAATCAATTATATTCCCAGAAAAAATTAATAGGAGTTCCAATTTACATTATTCAAAGCTTAGTATATCATAAATCTATATTTAATAAATATAAATATTGAAATTTATTTTGGGGAGATAGTTCTATGCCTCCATTAAATATTACACGCATTTGATTAATTTAGGTGGAGAGGCACTAAGTCCACTATCTCCCAGACTACCTACTAAATATTCTATTAATTCCAACCCATCATTTGGGCTTTTTCTTATTATTAGGTGTGCTGTTTTAAAAAAAAAATCCGATTAGGTATGGAAATGCATTTGCTCAATAAAGGCGGAGAATTAAATCTAGAAATCTCTTTTCATCGTTAATCGAATCAATATTCTCGACTTGGGATCTTATTTCATCGTCAAACCAATTATTGTTCTCATTTTTTCATTTTCTTACCGGTGAATACATCTCTTTACGATTACGTTATAGTTTTATTTGTGGTAAAAGTAGAAATAGTACTTTCTGAAGAAAAAAAAAAGAAGTAAAAATAGTTGCAAAAGTGGAGTTCTTATACATATTTTGTATATATTTTCATGTACCAAATGAGTCAAACAAATCATTGGTCATTTTTGGCTTGCTTGTTTAGCAATCTTTACATTTAAGCTCGAACTCTATTTATTTAGTAAAAATAAAATATAATGACTCTCTATCCTAGTCAATCTTAAAATAATAATAAAAAGGTCGATTTATCTATAGGCTTGGTAATTAATGAATCTACTAAAGCATCTTAGATTGTTTAGACAATTTCAAAGTCTCCTTCTTGTCCATTATTTTGAGATTTTAAGTTGGATTTTCATTTGTGTATTCAAGAAATCGTGGCCATTTTGTTCAAAATATGTGTTTGAACCAATGCCAATTACCATTAGTTGGTCCCACATTTCCATGGTCCATATAATAAAACCGCCCACATGATATCATCATGGCCTTAAACCTTTTTTGTTCATATTATCACTTACACTTTCAACCATGAAAGATTTTTAAAAAAATATTTTATATTCTCAAAAATTAAAATTTTCACATTGCACACTTAATATATTAAAAATATTATAATGTAATTCTTCTATTGGTTTTTGTTACTCATTCTGTCAAAAGGCAGGTTTTCACAGAATAAACAATAGTTGGTAAGGGGTATGGGGGGTTTGGCAAGATGGGTTTGAGAAAAATAATCCAAAGGACCCCCAAACCCCATATTTTGATTGAAAATTTAATCTCGAATTTTTAAACCCGGCCCATAGTTGACCCGAATATTAAAACCATATTCATGGATTTCGTCAAACCTAAGGAAAATGGTGGGTTTGGGATGATTGGTTAAGGAGTTAAGGATGCAAAAGATAATTGTACCACTTAACATGAGTATAAAGAGTAATGCTATGTATCCCAAATTTTCAATCCAAATTTTCATTCCAAATCAAGGGAGACCCTCAGATCAGTGGATCCAATTTAAAAAAGTTGATAGGACCCACTCATCCAACGGTCTCCCTTCATTTGGGATGAAAATTTAAATTGGAGATTTGGAATACATAGTATTTCTCGGGTATAAATTGAATTGACCAAAGGTAAAATAGTTATTTACATGATAAATAGGTGTTAATAATTATGATATATCTGTAGGTCTTATATGTGTATATGTTGCATACTAAACATGAATATTAATTGGATTCAATATTGAATCTCATTTTTGTAAAGATGGATTTAGGTTTGGGGAAGTCAATACAAACTCTCCTAAAAAATTCATCAAAATAAGCCTTATAAATTAACGGAAGGGCCACATTAAAACATTTGTAATGTATTGAGAGTGTAATTTTAAAAATTTAATTTTTAAAGATACAAAAATAAAAAAACTTAAAACTTTTGGGGCGGAAAGTGACTAAGTGAGATTCCCCTAAATGTAGAGGTCTTGATCAGATCCTTACGTGGACTGGGGGTATGCTCAAGTGGTGCCGCCCTGCTAACCNTTGCTTGGATCTGTGGTTGCTTGCTTGCTTCTTAACTTTGCAACCGGTGGACTGGTAAGGACAAAGCTAAAAACCATTCCAATATAAACTAAGAAACCAGTTGAGAAAAGAACCCAAATTAAACAATAAAAAATCATATATCAATTGTATATGACAAATGACCAATAATTCTTTCTCTATAATAATGCATNTCGGCAATCAAAATTTCCCACCTTTTTCATCTTCCAATTGCAACGGTCCACAGTATACCTCATGCCACGTGGCAACATCACATAAAATCGACGGCCCGCCTCACAGAAAAGGACAAGTGGCTTCACATGACGCTGCTTATTATCAAGCTGTCACCGGAGAGCAACTGGCTATTCCGGTTCCTCAACCGTTACATTTAGACCCATTATAAATAACAGTCATTAACCTTAGAACAGGAAGCACTGAAAAAGCAAGAAAATAAGCAGCTAATAAGCCTCTCTTGAGCTTTTAGAGTTCAATTAAAATCCAATTTTGAGGGGAAAAAAATGCCGATTTCTAGAATCTCCCTCGGCAGCCCGGCCGAAGCCAGCCAGCCGGACGCCCTCAAAGCTGCTCTTGCCGAGTTCATTTCAATGCTTATTTTTGTTTTCGCTGGTTCTGGTTCTGGCATGGCTTTTAGTAAGTATACTAATCAACTAGTGGAAAAAATATGCACAATTTATTTTCGTAGTATGATATTATCTTAACTTGCATGATTTTAACATAAACATCAAATACATATAATTACCGGCTAATTATGTGTATCGATTAAACTGGTATAAAATAATATCCACACAAATTAACGGGTTCTGAGTAGGAGCTAAAAATTTTGAATGGTTTATTTTGCAGACAAGCTTTCCGATAATGGACCGACGACGCCTGCCGGCCTAATCGCAGCATCTCTAGCTCATGCCTTTGCACTGTTTGTGGCAGTTTCAGTTGGTGCTAACATTTCTGGGGGTCATGTAAACCCTGCAGTCACATTTGGTGCCTTTGTTGGTGGTCATATAACACTGCTCAGGAGTGTTTTGTATTGGATTGCTCAGCTGCTTGGATCTGTGGTTGCTTGCTTGCTTCTTAACTTTGCAACCGGTGGACTGGTAAGGACCAAGCTAAAAACCATTCCAATATAAACTAAGAAACCAGTTGAGAAAAGAACCCAAATTAAACAATAAAAAACCATATATCAATTGTATATGACAAATGACCAATAATTCTTTCTCTATAATAATGCATGGACATTTTGTTGGGAGCATAGGGTTTCCCCATAGTTCAATAGCTCCATAATCAAACTAATGGTACCGTACCTAAAACATTTACTAATTTAATGAGTATTTTTATAATTTTATGGGTCATTTTACAATCACAAAATTTATCATTTTTATAAGTATTTTTACTACTGCTGTGGTAATTATTTTTACCATTTTTGTGACTAATTTGCCACATATATGGAATTTTTATCACTATTTTGATAGTAAGTAAGCTACCCGTTCCAAGTAATATAATAAAAATGTCAACAAATGTAATAAATGTCAGTACGGTATCGAATTTTATTTTTTGGATACCGTAGACAACTATAACTTTTATACATAAATTGTTTCAGATACTCAAATTTGATTATTGATTTAACGGATGTGATGCAGGCAGTAGGAGCATTTGCTCTTTCAGCTGGTGTGACCTCATGGAACGCACTTGTTTTTGAGATAGTGATGACTTTCGGATTGGTTTACACCGTGTATGCGACCGCTGTAGATCCGAAAAAGGGCAACATAGGGATCATAGCACCCCTTGCAATTGGATTCATAGTGNATCAGATCCTTACGTGGACTGGGGGTATGCTCAAGTGGTGCCGCCCTGCTAACCACGATGGTCTCTATCACACCAGATAAATAAATCTAATGGTCGGTCAATATAAAGATCAAGACAATCATTGGTGGATCCCACAATCTCAAACTTTTGGTCGGCAATCAAAATTTCCCACCTTTTTCATCTTCCAATTGCAACGGTCCACAGTAGACCTCATGCCACGTGGCAACATCACATAAAATCGACGGCCCGCCTCACAGAAAATGACAAGTGGCTTCACATGACGCTGCTTATTATCAAGCTGTCACCGGAGAGCAACTGGCTATTCCGGTTCCTCAACCTTTACATTTAGACCCACTATAAATAACAGTCACTAACCTTAGAACAGGAAGCACTGAAAAAGCAAGAAAATAAGCAGCTAATAAGCCTCTCTTGAGCTTTTAGAGTTCAATTAAAATCCAATTTTGAGGGGAAAAAAATGCCGATTTCTAGAATCTCCCTCGGCAGCCCGGCCGAAGCCAGCCAGCCGGACGCCCTCAAAGCTGCTCTTGCCGAGTTCATTTCAATGCTTATTTTTGTTTTCGCTGGTTCTGGTTCTGGCATGGCTTTTAGTAAGTATACTAATCAACTAGTGGAAAAAATATGCACAATTTATTTTCGTAGTATGATATTATCTTAACTTGCATGATTTTAACATAAACATCAAATACATATAATTACCGGCTAATTATGTGTATCGATTAAACTGGTATAAAATAATATCCACACAAATTAACGGGTTCTGAGTAGGAGCTAAAAATTTTGAATGGTTTATTTTGCAGACAAGCTTTCCGATAATGGACCGACGACGCCTGCCGGCCTAATCGCAGCATCTCTAGCTCATGCCTTTGCACTGTTTGTGGCAGTTTCAGTTGGTGCTAACATTTCTGGGGGTCATGTAAACCCTGCAGTCACATTTGGTGCCTTTGTTGGTGGTCATATAACACTGCTCAGGAGTGTTTTGTATTGGATTGCTCAGCTGCTTGGATCTGTGGTTGCTTGCTTGCTTCTTAACTTTGCAACCGGTGGACTGGTAAGGACCAAGCTAAAAACCATTCCAATATAAACTAAGAAACCAGTTGAGAAAAGAACCCAAATTAAACAATAAAAAACCATATATCAATTGTATATGACAAATGACCAATAATTCTTTCTCTATAATAATGCATGGACATTTTGTTGGGAGCATAGGGTTTCCCCATAGTTCAATAGCTCCATAATCAAACTAATGGTACCGTACCTAAAACATTTACTAATTTAATGAGTATTTTTATAATTTTATGGGTCATTTTACAATCACAAAATTTATCATTTTTATAAGTATTTTTACTACTGCTGTGGTAATTATTTTTACCATTTTTGTGACTAATTTGCCACATATATGGAATTTTTATCACTATTTTGATAGTAAGTAAGCTACCCGTTCCAAGTAATATAATAAAAATGTCAACAAATGTAATAAATGTCAGTACCGTATCAAATTTTATTTTTTGGATACCGTAGACAACTATAACTTTTATACATAAATTGTTTCAGATACTCAAATTTGATTATTGATTTAACGGATGTGATGCAGGCAGTAGGAGCATTTGCTCTTTCAGCTGGTGTGACCTCATGGAACGCACTTGTTTTTGAGATAGTGATGACTTTCGGATTGGTTTACACCGTGTATGCGACCGCTGTAGATCCGAAAAAGGGCAACATAGGGATCATAGCACCCCTTGCAATTGGATTCATAGTGGGTGCCAACATCTTAGCCGGTGGCGCTTTTACCGGTGCATCCATGAACCCTGCAGTGTCCTTTGGACCTGCAGTGGTCAGTTGGACATGGGGCAGCCAGTGGGTCTACTGGCTCGGCCCGTTCGTCGGTGCCGGGCTTGCTGCCCTGGTCTATGAAATTCTCTTCATTAACCAAAGCACTCATGAGCAGCTCCCAACGACAGATTACTAAAAACTGAAAATTGATACATCCAAGTGGGTGGGGAAAATGGTCTCTCCTATGTGGTTTCATTGCTGTGGGTATTTGGGATTTGTGTGCTTTAGTTTTTCAATAGTTGGTAAAGGCCTTTCGGCTGTTGTTTGTTGCGAATCCATGTGAAGTTTGTCTTGTTCAATTGTTGTTCATCTGTTTCTATTTCGAAAGTTTTGTAAGTTAAACCCTCCAAAATATCACTTTTTATTACTAGGGTGCAATTCTGACAGTTTAAGGGGTCAACTCTAGTCTAATTTTAGGTATATAATCTTCAACTCAAATCCAAATTTGAACTCAACCTCAACTAGGGTATTCAACTCGAGTATAGCCTAAGTTGAATTCGGGCGCACTCAGGATAAATTCGGGCTGATTTTGGGTTGAAATTCGAATTAAATTCAAGTTACAAATTACAACAAAATACAATACAAAGAAATTACTAAATTAAACCAAAAGGTCTCAGACACCATAGCCACCGCCATGACAGCCATTGTCCACCGCCACCATAGCCACTNCGAATTAAATTCAAGTTACAAATTACAACAAAATACAATACAAAGAAATTACTAAATTAAACCAAAAGGTCCCAGACACCATAGCCACCGCCATGACAGCCACTGTCCACCGCCACCATAGCCACTGCCACCGCCACCACAACCACCACACCATAGTCACTGCCCACTACCACCACACCCTAGCCATTGTGCATTGCCACCACACCATAGCCACTACCACCACCTACCTAGTGATGTTCTTTGCTGCAAGGCATTGATTTGAGAGAGGCCTGCTAAGTCGTTGTGGTCTTCGGCGCAGATCAAGTCATTGTAGCCTTTGGAGTTGCAGTTTTCAACGTTGTGGTCTTCGACAAATAGTGAAAGGGAGGTTGAGAGACGGAGAGAGGCAAAGAACGAGAGATGAGATCTAATTGGGAACCCTAGTGGCTACTGGCTAGTGCTTTACTATATATATATATATATATATATATATATTTATTTATACTTTTTTTTTGTCGGGTTCGGGTTGAACCCGATAACCCGAATTCAATTGGGGTTGGAGTGTTTGAACCCAAGGCCAACTCAAAATTTTAAAACCTCAACTCAAGTCTTATTTTTTTAAATTGGGTTCAGGCTAAATTCGGGTTGACCCGTCCAAATTGCATTCCTACTTATTATTTAATAGTGGCCAGTGGCCGAGATAAGCCAACTTGATATTAAATCACCATCTCATTTAAAAATTTAAACCATACAAACATAATTTAAATATTCATGTATCTCCAAACACTCTTGTCACGCCCCGAAATTTTTTTTTTTTTAAAAAAAATACCCGGACGTGATTAAGGAATAAAACCACACATAACTTACAATAACTTTCCTTGTATTCTTATATTCAACATACGATTATGTAATCTTCTCTCGATCAGTTAAAATATTTTTGATATAACATGAAGATAAATAATAATAGTAATCTCTATGTCCATTGTCTTTTCAGCTTGTCCTTTTACCTGACTTCATATTTTTGAAAAATGTTAGTTAGGGATGAGCTCACGAGCCCAGGAGGATAACGTTTATCAAGGACTATCAAAGTTTTAAAACAATACATAATATAATTAAACAACGGATAAATGCAGGAATATGAAAAAATAATGAAATTAAATAAATAAATTTCAGCACATATCGATCATATCAATCCGTCAATTTTCTGATTTACGCATGAACTGCCTCAAAAAAATGGCAAAGAAATGGACACTTGTCCAGGTGATGCAAGCCAAATGACATCAGCTATGATACAAGGAGGGCAAGACTTTGACTAAAAATAGCCAAGCCCAGACACTTTGAATGACACAAGAGAGAAANCTAACTAACATGGGGTCTACAATAGCTAATGAAGTTTGAAATGATAGAGTTAGTCTAGAAGCTTACAATCTGCTAGTCTGGGAGATCCAGGATGTAGCTAATACTTGGCCTTTTACACCTTTTGTTGAGCAAAAGAGATCGGTGCACCACCGACTGACCTCACAACTGAGGGTAATCCGTGAAGTGCTTAGTATAGAGACCAACCCCACCATTTATCAGGAGATTATAGATGGATAAGTAGTACCAGACCTCTAGTGGGCCCTAGCTGCAGCTAGCGTGGGACAACCAGCTGAAGCTCATAACTCGTTTCATAATAATGGATGGTTGAACCTAGAACCCAGTGAACCCAATGTGGGCGCAGATGCTATACCACCTAAGGGAAACAATCATGCATTGTCTGTCGGTTCTATGAGTGTGCGCTCGAGAGAATGGGTATGAAGTTTTGAATCTCTGATTTCACTTTTGACCTCACTAATCTAGGAACTTTTGCTTGCAGATATGGTAAACCCTAGAATAGTGAAAGCTTTATATAATAATGCATCACCTAACTATGACTATCCTAGATATTTTGCTCGTATGAAATAGTAGTATCTGGGATAGTAAACTAAGTGTAACCCTTTTTGTCAATTAAGATGTTGAGATGCATGAATTTTGCTAACTATCTGAAATTATAATTGTTCTTAGTTTTTGAATATGGTGATAGTTTGTAAATATAATTATAATATCATGGAATATATATTATAGGATGAAGAGAAACACATCTCATGACAACAAAAGATGTCCACCAATAACCAATCCCCTTCGACACCGCAAGACATCATGAGCGGCATTTACAAGTGTTTGAAAAAACTGACCACTTTGGCACGCTAACACGCAGAAAATAATAACCATACTACGATAACACAACAACATCCCCCCGCCTTTCATGGAAGTGCAGAGCCGCTCGATGCAGAAAAGTGGCTTTGACAAATGAAAAAGGTAATAGATGGCATAGATATTGCTACAGANGACGGATTGGTGAGCTCATCTCTATCTAACATTTTTCAGAAATATGAAGTCAGGTAGAAGGACAAGCTGAAAGGGCGATGGATATAGAGACTGCTATTATTATTTCTCTTTATGTTATATCAAAAATATTTTAACTGATCAGGGGAAGATTAAGTAATCGTATGTTGAATATAATAATACAAGGAAGGTTACTGTAAGTTTTGTGTGATTTTATTCTTCAGTCACGTCCGAGTATTTTTTAAAAGAAAAAAAAATTACGGGACATGAACAGAGCGGTATCAGAGCCTAAGAATTAGGTTTACATGGGAATTATAGAAAATAGATTAGTCAAAATAAATAGTTTGTGTTAATTTACTAGCACTAAACATGTTTCATTATGTACAGTTTATCTCTATGTCTATAAAGCTAACATTTTAATGAATATAGGTATGGCAGCATGTGACGATATCTACATGACACTAACTAACATGGGGTCTGCAATAGCTAATGAAGTTTGAAATGATAGAGTTAGTCTAGAAGCTTACAATCTGCTAGTCTGGGAGATCCAGGATGTAGCTAATACTTGGCCTTTTACACCTTTTGTTGAGCAAAAGAGATCGGTGCACCACCGACTGACCTCACAACTGAGGGTAATCCGTGAAGTGCTTAGTATAGAGACCAACCCCACCCTTTATCAGGAGATTATAGATGGATAAGTAGTACCAGACCTCTAGTGGGCCCTAGCTGCAGCTAGCGTGGGACAACCAGCTGAAGCTCATAACTCGTTTCATAATAATGGATGGTTGAACCTAGAACCCAGTGAACCCAATGTGGGCGCAGATGCTATACCACCTAAGGGAAACAATCATGCATTGTCTGTCGGTTCTATGAGTGTGCGCTCGAGAGAATGGGTATGAAGTTTTGAATCTCTGATTTCACTTTTGACCTCACTAATCTAGGAACTTTTGCTTGCAGATATGGTAAACCCTAGAATAGTGAAAGCTTTATATAATAATGCATCACCTAACTATGACTATCCTAGATATTTTGCTCGTATGAAATAGTAGTATCTGGGATAGTAAACTAAGTGTAACCCTTTTTGTCAATTAAGATGTTAAGATGCATGAATTTTGCTAACTATCTGAAATTATAATTGTTCTTAGTTTTTGAATATGGTGATAGTTTGTAAATATAATTATAATATCATGGAATATATATTATAGGATGAAGAGAAACACATCTCATGACAACAAAAGATGTCCACCAATAACCAATCCCCTTCGACACCGCAAGACATCATGAGCGGCATTTACAAGTGTTTGAAAAAACTGACCACTTTGGCACGCTAACACGCAGAAAATAATAACCATACTACGATAACACAACAACATCCCCCCGCCTTTCATGGAAGTGCAGAGCCGCTCGATGCAGAAAAGTGGCTTTGACAAATGAAAAAGGTAATAGATGGCATAGATATTGCTACAGAGTTACAAGTTACCTTGGCATCTTATCTTTTTGAAGGTGAAGTTGATCATTGGTGGGATACAGTCAAAAGAATGAGGGACGTAGACCAAATGACATGGACCACATTCGAAAGAGTTTTTAATGATAAATATTTTTCCGAGTCCGTAAGGGATAAAATGTTCTCTGACTTCTTGGAGTTGCAACAACGTAATTTGACAGTCATGCAATATGAGTCCTAATTTGCTGAACTCTCTTGTTTTGCCATGGAATTAGTTTCCACGGATGTTAAGAAGGCCAAACGATTTGAAAAAGGTCTTAAGCCTTCTATCCGAGGGTGCCTCGTAATGCATCGACTGAGGAACTATAAGAAACTGGTGGAAAGAGCTATATTGGCAGAAAGAGATNCAAATATCCTTTACCACGTATTGATGACCTATTTGATCAACTCAGAGGTTCTCCTTATTATTCAAAAATTTGATCTTCGAACTGGATACCATGAATTGAGAATCAAAGAAGAAGATGTCCCCAAAACAGTTTTTCGTACTCAATATGGATATTTTGAATTCTTGGTGATGCCATTTGGACTTACAAATGCACTTGTAGCTTTCATGGACATGATGCTCTGGGTATTTAGGCCCTATCTTGATCAGATTGTAATCATATTCATAGAAGATATTCTCATTTACTCAAAGACACGTGAGGAGCATGTATAACATCTTCGCCAAGTGTTACTAAAACTACGGAAACACAAATTGTATGCTAAGAAAAATAAGTGTGAGTTCTAGATGTAAGAAGTCAAATTTCTTGGGCATGTAGTATCCAAAAAAAGGGTGACAGTGGATCCAGCTAAGGTTAAAGCAATAATGAATTGGGACGGACCTAAGAATGCAACAGAAGTTCGAAGTTTTCTAGTATTGGCAGGATACTATGGAAGA